GGCGGAGGCGGCGGGGGCGGGGCAGGAAGTGACCGGGGCCGCCCCGCGCCTGCGCGGCTCCGGGGCGGGGGCACCGGCAGGGGGGCACCGGGCACCCCAAGGCCGGGGCACCGGGGGTACGGTCCCCTGGACAGCGTCAGTGGGTGGCACAGAGGGGACAGCGGCGGGTGGCACGGGGGCAATGGCAGCGAATGGCACGGGGGCGCTGTCACCGCCACCAGTGTGGCCCCTCCGTGTCACCCCGGGGTGACACAGCAGCCAGGGTCGCCCCCCGGGCCGGCCTTTCCCTGCTCTCATTCTGGGGGTCCCTCCCCTCTGAAGCCCCCTGTGGCACCCCCGCCCAGTCGTGTCTTGGGGACACGCCACCCGTCCCCATCCTGGGGGGACAGTAAATGGACCCACCTTAGAGGTGGGGGGAGCTCGGGGACAGGTGCCAGGTGGGGGGACACAGTGGTGGCCTCGCGGTGTCACCGCTGGGGATGTGGGTTGCACTGGGGACACTTTGCGGTGTCACCGCAGGGAGCACGGGGCGATGCTGGGGACCCTGCTGGCTGTGGGGTGTCACCTCTGGACTCGGGGTCCCTCGGTGTGACCCCGGGACGCGGGTGGGGACCTGTCCGGTGGCCGCGTGGCTGTGCCCGGGGGCCGGTGGCTGTTTCGTGCCATTAATCACCGCTAATTGGCTTTGCCCGGGCGGGGGGAGTTTGGGGGGGTCACGGGGGGTGTAAGAGGATTTCCCTGCTCCTTCCTCCGGCTCGGCCATCCCGGGGTCCTGCTCCCTGCCCGCCCGCTGCCCGCCCGGCCCCAGCCCCATGCCACGCTCCCGCGGGGACAAGGGGACCCCCAAGGACACGGAGCCCCCGCAGAAGGGGAAAGGGGGGCACGAGGAGGGCGAGAAAGCCCCCAAAGCCCCCGAGGACGTCGGTGCCCTGGCCCCCAAGAATTCCAGCTCCGAGTCCCGGCACGGCGGGCACGGGCAGAAGAGTGGGAAGAAGGCTCCCGTGGACCCCCACGCTGCTGCCACCAAGACCTACTCCCCCTTCCTCAACACCGTCTTTGGCAAGGTGGGGACACCGGGAGGGGACGTGGGGACAGGGGTGGGGATGGAGGGACTCTGGAAATGGAGGGCATGAGGGGACAGGGATAGTCCAGGATCCTGTGGATGGAAGGGGGACAGGGGCTTTGGGGACATGGTCAGGGACAGTCTGGGACCCTCGGGATGGAGAGGATATGGGGACATTGGGGATGGGGACAGGGACAGCCCAGGACCCTGTAGATGAAGAGGGCAATGACGCAGTCAGGATGGCCTGGGGACACTGGGATGGGGATGTTCCAGAACCCTGGGGACGGAGGGGACATGGGGCCGGTGAAGATGGGGTTGGGACACTCCAGAACCCTGGGGACGGAGGGGATGTTGGGCACTGATCAGGCCACTCTGGGTCCCTGGGGATTAATAGGACATGGGGACAGTGGGGACACAGTCGGGGATGCATTGGGACCCTAGGGATGAGGACATGGGGACAGTGAGGATGGGCTCAGGGACTGTCTGGAAACCTGGGGATGAAGGGGATATGGGGCACTGGGAACAGTCTGGAATCGTGGGGATAGGTGGGATGTGGGTGCTGGGAATGGTGTTGGGGACACTCCAGGGCCCTGGGGACAGAGGGGACATACTGAGGGGACATTTAGAGCAGGGGCAGCCAAGCTTTGTGGGGGTAAAAGTGCTGCTCTTCCACCTCTGGAGTACAGCCCCCCTCGGCAGCATCTGTGGCCACTCGGCACGTCCCACCCAGAGCCTGGGGGCCTGGGGAGGGACACCCCTGGGCTGGGTGACAGCAGCAGGGACACGGGGACCGGGACAGGGCAGGTGGGAGGTGCAGGCACAAGGCAGGGCGGGGCTTTGCCTCCAATCCCACTAATCCTCCGCTGGAGTTAATTTTGGCCCCCGCTTAACAAAGGTGACACCGAGGTTTGGGGGGGCGAGGAGGGGGGATGGACACGGGGCTGGGTCTCACTCTGCTGTCACCCCTTCTCTGTGTCCCCTGCAGGAGCGGGAGCTGTCACCGGAGGAGCTGGATGGTGAGCAGGGGGGACGGGGTGGGGACACTGACCTGGGGGAATGGGGGGGGCCACATCCTCCATGGAGGGATCTTCATGGTGACATGGCCACGGAGGGGTCTCCCACATCCAAAAAGGGACCTGCCCTGGGGTGACGCGGTGTCCGTGTGACCGTCCCCTCCTGATGATGTCCCTGTCCCCACCCGTGGCCGTGCCCAGAGCTGCTGGATGCCTTCAAGGAGTTCGACACGGACCAGGATGGCTACATCAGCTACAAGGACCTGGGCGCCTGCATGCGCACGCTGGGCTACATGCCCACCGAGATGGAGCTCATCGAGATCTCCCAGCACATCAAGATGAGGAGTGAGTGGCCTGGGGGGCACGGGGAGGGCGCCGGGAGGGGGTGGCTGGGGCGCTGAGGGTGTCCCCTTCCCGCCGCAGTGGGCGGCCGCGTGGACTTCGAGGACTTTGTGCAGATGATGGGCCCCAAGCTGCGGGAGGAGACGGCGCACATGGTGGGCGTGAGGGAGCTCAAGATCGCCTTCCGCGAGGTACGGCCACCGCCGCGGGGACAGCGGGCCTGGCGTCCCCTCCTCAGGGCACCACAGGCATGGGGGGGGCACAGTGACCCTGGAGAGACCCTGGTGGGGACAGTGATCATGGGGGCTGTGATCACGGGAAGACCATAGATGGTGACTATAGTGGGGACCGGGGGGTGACCACAGGCAGGAGAAGACAATGACCATGGGGTGACCATAGGCATGGAGGGGACCGTGACCAGGGGGGAATGATGACCACGGCGGTGACCACGAGCACAGAGGAGACAGTGCCCACAGGGAGCTTGGGGGTGCCGGTGGCTGTGGGGGGAGGGTGACCCCCAGCCCGCGGGTCCTGCAGTTCGACATGAACGGGGACGGGGAGATCAGCACGGCCGAGATGCGCGAGGCCATCGCGGCGCTGCTCGGGGAGCAGCTGAAGGCGCAGGAGGTGGACGAGATCCTGCAGGACGTGGATCTCAACGGGGACGGCCATGTGGACTTCGACGGTGAGGGCACCCCCTTCCCCCGGGGGGCCGGGCAGGGCTCAGCCCGGCTCCCCTGACGTGCCCTGCTCGCCCCGCAGAGTTCGTGATGATGCTGTCGTCCCGGTAACGGAGACACCGGGCAGGGGGGCACCCCCGGATGGCCCCCCCAGCCCGTCCCCAGCCCCTCCCTGCCCGGCCAGCCGGCCCGAGGGCTCTGCCAGCACCAGGGTGCAGAGGGGACAGCTGGAACGGGGCAGACGCGACACCCCCGAGGCCAGAGCCAGCGGCCCAATAAACGCTTTGGCCGGAGCTGCAGGAACCTGTCTGCTGGTTGTGGGGAGGGACGGGGGGCCAGCGTCCCCCCCGCCACCCGAGCCACCCCGGGGTGGGGACAGCGGGGTCCCGCGCAGGACAAGGGGTGGGCGCTGCCGGGGGGCGTGGCTGCAGGGCCACACCGTGCCCTCCCATTGGCTGGATCTGACCCGCTGCGATCGCCCAGCCAATCAGCACGCTCCAATTCAAGATGGGCGGGAAAATTCAAGCCCTCCCGGAGCTGTCACTCAAACCAACTGGCCAATCAGGGCGAGGTAGGGCACAGGTTTGGCCAATCAGCATGCGCTTCTCATGCCAGCTGGCCAATCAGAGGCCACGTAACATGGGGTGGGGAGGGCATGGGGGCACCTGTGCCACTCGCAGGGGGTCCCCACGATCCCTGGGGACATCCCCGCCCTTGGAAGTGCCCTCAGGGGGTCCCAGGGCCACTCGGGACCGCCCTCCTTGGATGCTCCCCCCCAGACCAGGTGACCCCCTGGGCCAAAATAGGTCCCCGGGAAGAGTCAAGGGTCCCTCAAAGTCACCCAGGGTATCCCCAGCACCCCAAATCCGGTGGGAAACACAGCAGGACACAGGAGACACCCCTCAATCCCCCCCACCAGGGCAGCAGAACCTGGGGAGAGGACAAGGTGGCTCCTGGAGAATCCCAGGAATGGGGTTCAAGTCCCTGTTTGGGTGCTGCCACCCAGATCCCTACAGGAGTAGGGGGTGCCCCCAAAACCAGTTGCAGAAAGGGACTGGACTCTCCCCCTATCCCACAGAGCAGGCGCAGGGTTGGGGCATTCACAGATTTTAATTTAGTTCTTTTTTCTGGAGACAAAAAAAAACCAACCCAAAAAAAGGAAAAATAAAATAAAAAGGCATCAAACGCCCCCAATTTCAGATTCGGGGGTGCAGAGACTCCCCCCACGGTGCATCTCCCCACCCCTGTAGTGTCTGGGGGTGCAGGGGTCCCACTGCACCCTGGAGAGACCCTCCCCAAAACCCAGGCCCTCCCCCTGCCCTAAACCTACAGGGAAGGCACCTCATGGGGGGTCCCCACGTGTGGGGGCCGCCCCGGGGAGGGCGGGGACCCCCCAAACTGGGGGCTGCGGGGGAGAAGGGGACCCCGATTGCTCTCTACATATATATAATATACACCTATAGAACAGGCTGGGGGGGAGTCTGGCCCCCCCAGACCCCCAAAAGCACCCGAACTCCTGGGGGCGAAGGGGAACGGGAATAAAAGGGGAGGGGGGGAGACCAAGGCCAGCCTCGGGCTCGCCCCGCTGCGCCTTCCCTGGGGCTCCCCACCCCAGGGGCGGCCGTGCCCCCCACCCCAGGGTGCTGAGGAGGTGGGTGGGACAAACGGACCCCCCCCCTGCTCCAGCACGGATTTGAGGGGGGCTGTGTTGGCTCCTGCTCCCCAAGGTCAGTTTGGGTGGGCTAAGGCAAAGCCCGGCCGGCGCTCACGGCGAGGCACGGGGACACACGGTTAAGACAGACGGATGGACAGGGGGGGTCCTGGCCTTCATCCCTCCCCCCTCGCCGCTCCTCCTCCTCCTCGCCGGGCTCAGAAAATATCCGGGCACAAGCTCCAGTCCTGCTTCTCCTTGCTCTCCCAGTAGCCCCCCTTGTAGACGTGCGCCAGCTCCTGCGTCACCGGGTCCTTCTTCCGCTCGAACCACAGCGGTTTGTAGGGATCGTAGGGCGTCCCTGGGGGCACAGCGGGGTCAGGGCCTGGGGGGGACACCGAGGGGGGACACCGAGGGGGGACAGCCCTGTCTGGCAGCCGTGCCTTACCGTCCTCGGTGGCGCGGGCAGCCTCGGCCTCGCGGCGCTTGCGGGACAGCCGCTGCTTCTCCTCCAGCCGCTGCTTCTCCACATTGGCCTCGTCCCACCTCCCGTTCTCCATCAGGCGCTGGTCCGGGCGCCGCCGGCTGTCCGTGGGGGCCGTGCCGTTCTCCGGCGCGTTCAGGGTCAGCGCCAGCTCCGAGAAGTAGTACATGTTCTCTGCGTACTTCCTAGGGCATGGCAAGGAGCGGGGCTCAGCGCCAGCCCCGCAGCCTGGCTCCCCAGACGCCTCCTTCCCGTTTTCCCCACTCACGGGAGCGGGTTCCGCTTCCACAGCAGCACCCGGCTGTCCTCAGCCTCGTGGGCTCGTGGCCGCGCCTCGGCTCCGTTGTCCCCCGTTCCCAGCTGGACCTTGTAGCAATCCATCTTCTCGTCCCACGTGCCCATCAGGGCAAAATGCACCTTTCCCGAGGGGTCCATCACCTCCCCGGTCACCTGGTGGGAGAGGGGACAGCTTGGATCAGGACACACTGTGCAGTCATGAGCAGCCCGGTGTGTCCCATGGCTCCGTGTCCCTACCTTCCTCGCCACATCCCGGGAGAAGTAGCTGTAAGGGACAAACTTGAGGACGCACTTGTCCCCTGTCTTGTGGTTGACGATCTCAATCTCACCTGACTGTGGAGGGGAGAGAAGAGTCAGACCCACCCACGCCCCATTCCCCAGGGATCTGCGCTTCCATAGACCTCCCATCCAGGACTTCCCACCTGGTCTATCCAGAGCTTCCCCACGATGATGTTGTGCACGGTGGTCGTCACCTTTTTCCACGTGTAGTGATTGCCGGAGGAGTGGAAGACGCAGTGGATGGTGCCTGAGGGAGGGAGTGGATGGTGCCTGAGGCATGCTGGGAGCCACGCCTGGAGCCTCGGGTGGTCCCAAAAATCCCACACACTCCAGGGGTGCTCACCCAGAGGCATGATGGAGAGGTATTTCCCTCGGAATTTGCTGGTGATTTTGATTTCCTGGCGCAGCGTCCAGCCGTTCTTGGAGTCGGCGTGGTGGGCGGCGGCCGGCGGGTGGTGGCTCACCTGGACACGGGATTGGGGACAGCTCAGTGCCGGCCATCCCGACAGCCCAGGAAAGGCTGGGAGAGAGGAGCTGGCCACACCTGCTCGCAGAGGGAGCGGTATCCGTTCTCCTCCAGGCGATCCAGCTCGAAGGTTTCCCCCAGGAGCGGGTTGAAGGGTTTGCTGGTGCGGAAGACGGTGGTGGAGTAGGAGGACACGGTGAAGGCGGCCACGTAGCACAGCTGCTCCAGGGAGCTCTCGCAGCGCGCCGCCCGGTCCAGGAGCTCGTGGTACTCCAGGTCCTCCGTCAGCCGCTGCAGCATGGACAGCGGCTCGTTGAAATTCACCTGGAAGGGGGAACGGGTCAAAAAAAGGGGGTTCCGGGGTGCGCCGTGCCCACCCACCGGCTGCGTCTGTGCTCACTGGCATGGGAATCTTGGACAGCTCCTTCCCAATGCAGTTCTTCATGATGCTCCAGAGGTTGAGGCTGTAGTTGGGTTTGTAGGGAATGCGGGTTCTCTTCTCCTTCTTGGTGTCCTCAACCTGGTGCTTGTACTAGGGAGAGGGGAGACAAAGGATGTTATATCCCTGTGACCCCACAAAACACTTCCATGGGAATTGGGCATCCCCAAGCCATAAAACCCCCATCCCACCTGCTCATCCAGGCTGATGTCACTGCTGGTGCCGCTGATGTTGCTCCCAGTTCTCCTGGGAAGGGGGGAAAGGGAGTGAACATTCCTGAGCAGGGCAGAGCAGCGAGGGGATTCCCCTCTCTCCCAAAACTCACTTGTGGCCCATGATGTCGGGCATGGGGAAGATCTCCGGGGCGTCAAAGAACTCATTGTTGTCATCGTCCTCGTCACTCAGGTCGCCTTTGGCAGGGCAGCACAGATCTAGGAAAAGGGAGAGGGCTGGTGAGGAAGGAACACCATTCCCAGTTTCCCACTGAAGGCTCCCCTGTCACCATCAGCAAGGCGAGGGGGTCACACCCCACCCCAGCTCTGAGGGGTGTTGGATAAGGCTCAGAGGAGCCAGTTTGGACCCTGTTGGAGATGCCAGAATCACTTGGCCGCACAGATGAGATGGGACAGACACATCCTTTGGGATCAGGACAGTGAGAGAAGCTGAGCCTGGCTCAGAAAATCCCGGGAAGCATCTGGGAGACACCTGGGCACAGCACTTGTCCCTCCCCACCTTTGCCAGAGCCTGCAGTGCCGGGCGTGCTGGCGGGGAGCACCGTGGCCCCCCGGAAAGCCCTTTCCAGGTGGTTGTGCTGCTTGGCCAGCTGCTCCAGCGTCTCCTCCAGCCGGATCCGCTGATCCCGCTCCTGCTGCAGCGACTTCTGCCACTTCTTCCCGTGCGTTTGTGCCAGGAGCATGAAATCCCGGCAGGCCTGCGGGGAAACAGCGCTCAGCACGGAAGCGGGGCCTTTTCCCGCTGTGGAACCCTCGGGGTGGGGACTCACGTTGATCATGGCATTGGAGGTGATGCGGAAGAGTGTGGCACGCTCGTTGACCTGCTTGATCTTGTCCGTGCTCTCCGGAGGGAGCCGCAGGGCCTCGAGCTCGCTGAGGGAGCGCTGCAGGGCCGTGCCGTGCTTGGCGATCAGGTCGTTGCAGGTGCTCAGGTCCTCCACCTTGCTGGATAAAATCCGCAGGGTGTTCTGCAGCTCCGTCTTGTCCGTCTGCGACACTGACTCGTCGCCGGAGTCGTCTGCGGGCGGGAAGGGACAGGGAGTGTGGGACTGTCATGTCACACCAGGAGCTTGTGGGGGGGCTGCCAGGAAGGGCACGGGGAGATCCCCAAATCCCTGAGGGCCCCCAGACACTCATGGTCCATCTCTGTGTGTGCCAGGCTGTTTGGGTCACATGTGCATGGACACGGCCATCCCCTTCCAAACCGTCTTGCTGGAGATGCTGGGATGCTGCCCAGGGCACTGGGATCCTGCCCTAGCTCCTGTGGGGCCCTGGGATCCTGCCCTGGGGGCACTGGGATCCTGTGCCCTGTGGGGCTGGGATACTTTTCTCTGGGCATTGGGATCCTGCCCTCAGCCCTGTGAGGCACTGGGATCCTGTGGAACACTAATATCCTGCCCTGAGTCCTCCAAGCACCGGGATCCTGCCCTGGGATTCTTGCCACCCGTGGGGCTCTGGGAACCTGGCGCTGGGATCCCACTCTGAGGACAATGATCCTGCCCTGGGCCCTGCCGGGCACTGGGATTTCACCCTGAGTGCACCATGACCCTGCCATGAATCCAGGAATTCCATACCTGACTCCTCCAGCATCTTGACAGCCTTGGCCTTGGCGAGCTCGAGGGCGGTGACCCAGCGCTGCCGCTCCACCTCGGAGCTGGCCTTGAGGTGGTAGGTCTGGGCTCCGCCGTTGGAGATGATGAAATTGCAGGAATCCTCCACGGAGATGTTGGCCGTGGCCAAGTTGATGGTGCCGCGGCACGTGTGGCCCATCTCCGCCTTGGATCTGCACGGGAAGGCCATGGTGAGGGAAGGACAGGGCTGGGATCCCCGGGATGAGATGGCAGCGAGGGAAGGACAGGGCTGGCATCCCTGGGACAAGGTGGCAGCGAGGGAAGGACGGGATCAGGATCCCCAGGACAAGGTGGCAGCGAGGGAAGGACAGGGATCCCCGGAATGAGATGGCAGTGAGGGAAGGACAGGGATTCCCGGGATGAGATCGCAGCGAGGGAAGGACAGGGATTCCCGGGATGAGCCCTCGGGGGCGCGGCATTCCCAGCCCGGCAGGCAGGGCTATTAATAGGGAGCGCTTGCTGGCGCCGGAGCAGGGCCAAGCCTGGGGATGTCGCTTTGGGGGGACAAATCCACAGCCCCAGGAGTGGCCTCAGGGATCCTGGAGCTTCAGGGATCCGGTGCTTCCCGGATCCTGGCACGGGCTGGGGCGAGGGTGAAGTCCCAGAGAGGCCGCGCCAGGCTGGCACTCCCCTTCCACGTCACCGGGTGGCAGAGGTGACATCCAGCCGGGACACCCCCGCCCGGTGCCCCCCCGGAGCCGGCGGTGAAACCGGAGCCGGCAGCTGCCGAAGGCTCCGGTTCCCCAGCAATAATGGATCGACGAG